TCTAGCTACTCTAATTCTCTTGTGTGAAATTATGAGACAATTGTGATTGAGTTAAGATTCTATGGCAGCTTACCCCCTAGTGCGCCGAAATTCATAACTCAAGAAATACTTCACCTTATCGTACGATTCAAATTGGGAATTGTAGCCACGGACTAGGGCTACAACATATCGGAGTTTGGCGAAGTTTATACGGTGCAATTTTCGTCAATGGCGTTTCTTGTGAACTCGACTTTTCTGTCCAGAAACTAGGCCCAACGATTTTGAGATATTTAGGCCCCTAATCTTCGTAGACCTCGTCCTTAGTCTCTAGCAACACTGTGTCTACCAAACGCAGAGCCCTAGACTACACAGCCACAGGGGGTCGTGGCTCTCTGGATTTCAGGCGCTGCGGACGACAAGACGACTGCCTCTACTCAACTTCCCCCAGCTGTCCCACACCCCTTTCACACACCCCCTGGTGCACCTCTAGCACTGCTCACACGCCACCCCCCTTGTGCTACTCCGACGGCTCCAACACATCCACCCCCCTCATCGGCAGCTGCAGTAGTGGGAGACGGAGGAGGAGGAGGAGCAGGGGACGGCGCACACGCCCGTCACCCCCATACTCGCCACCCCCACACGCGCCACGCCCAAACCCTAATCATAGGCAGGAGCGGAGGATGGCGTGCGAGCAGCACCTCGGGAGGACAGCGCACGCGGGCAGCAGGACAGGGGACGCGCGCGCGGCTCCCCAGGGCGGCGCGACGGGGCAGCGGGGGCCGCGCGCGGCTCCCCAGGGCGTCGCGACGGGGCAGCGGGGGCCGCGCGCGGCTCCCCAGGGCGTCGCGACGGGGCAGCGGGGGCCGCGCGCGGCTCCCCAGGGCGTCGCGACGGGGCAGCGGGGGCCGCGCGCGGCTCCCCAGGGCGTCGCGACGGGGCAGCGGGGGCCGCGCGCGGCTCCCCAGGGCGTCGCGACGGGGCAGCGGGGGCCGCGCGCGGCTCCCCAGGGCGTCGCGACGGGGCAGCGGGGGCCGCGCGCGGCTCCCCAGGGCGTCGCGACGGGGCAGCGGGGGCCGCGCGCGGCTCCCCAGGGCGTCGCGACGGGGCAGCGGGGGCCGCGCGCGGCTCCCCAGGGCGTCGCGACGGGGCAGCGGGGGCCGCGCGCGGCTCCCCAGGGCGTCGCGACGGGGCAGCGGGGGCCGCGCGCGGCTCCCCAGGGCGTCGCGACGGGGCAGCGGGGGCCGCGCGCGGCTCCCCAGGGCGTCGCGACGGGGCAGCGGGGGCCGCGCGCGGCTCCCCAGGGCGTCGCGACGGGCAGCGGGGGCCGCGCGACCGTCGACAGGGGACAACGCGTGGGTCGACGGGGCAGAAAAATCGCCGCGCGTCCGGAGCGCGTGGCAGGCAGGAAACAGCAGCGGAAGCATCGGGCGGGACCACCCACATGACCGACCCAGGAGGGTCGACTTGCTCTGATAGCATGTCAGAATACTAGGCAAGAATCAGAAACAGGAAAGAGGGGTTTTCACTAGCAGCAGTTGAGATACATATAGGAAACCCTAATTTGGGCTGTACTCGCTATAGAGTACCCCACTGCAGGCTAGACAAACATTACATTCTGACACGGCCTGCAACCACGCGCGTACCTCAGCAAAAAGCTACATGGAGCAGAACTACTACCCCATACACGGCAAGAAGGCCCTAGCGACCGTCACAGCATTCAGGCATGGAGGTGCTACCTGGAAGGAGCCAAGACTACAGTGTACAACAACCACTGCAGCTTGAAATACCTCTAGTCACAGCCTACAATCTCAATGCGTCAAGTTCGGTGGATAGACTTATTGGAAACACACTTTCACTATGACATCGTCTACAAACGGTGACTTCACAACAAGGTAGACGCACTAAGCTGACCCGGACATGTAGCAGGGATTCAGCTAGACAGGATGAACTCCCTGCTCGAGGGGGTATTCCAACATGGGTACTCCGTGGACGTAGAAATAACAGTAGCACAGAAACGGATCTTAGAACATTAGTGAGAGAAAGACCTAGCTGTATGGAAGGGTTCCGAAAAGATTTGGGTTTTGAGCTACGCTCCAATCCGACAAATCTTACTGAAAGAATTTTACGACGTAGCATATGCGGGACACTTAAGGGCAACATGACAATTGCCGGCATAGAAAATTACAACTAGTGGCCCGAGATGGCAGCAGACGTGCAGCAGCTCGTTATCTCGTGCGACACCTGCCAGCGGATGAAGAGGGGCAAGCAAAAAAAGGTAGGGGAGCCATGACACGTTGTTAGTCTAGTCTTCATCACTGGACTACCACTGACCAATCGAAAGCATGATGCTATACTCGTAGTGTCAACAAGTTCTCCAACATGGGACACTTCATCCCCAGCAACGCCACGGCTACAGCTGAAGCTATGACTCGTCTTTTCTTCGACCACATTATCACCATCCGCGGCATTCCTGCTACACTAATTTCACAAAGAAACCCAAAATTCACTAGTAAGTTTTGGCTGGAACTCATGGGTTTCTAAGAGACAAAGCTTGCAATGTCTTCAGCATACCACCCTTAGACAGATGGATAGACCGAACCAGGTGGTTGAACAGCTACTGCGTACCACATCCAAAGCAATATCAGCCACTGGGATCAACAGTTACCAAGTTTTGAGTTCGCATACAACAACACAACTCACGCGACCACAGGAAAATATTTTTCCATCTTACGCTACGGGCGTAAGCCACTCACGCTACATCAGCCATCCATACCGTCACACGTCCAAGCAACTCACGACTTCATCACCACCATGCAGCAGCTATGGGAGAAGTCTTAGCGACACCTCACCATGATGCAAAATTCCCGGAAACAATATGCTGATCGACAGCAACGTGATCACACGGTAGCGGTCGGAGATCAAGTTCTTTTGGACACACGTAACTTGGACTCGTCCCACCTCCCATCCAAGCTCCGACCTCGCTTCTATGGTCATTTTTGCGATGAGGCTATGGTGACACCCGTAACATTCTGCTTGCGCATACGTACTACTTGGAAGCTTCACAACGTTTTCCATGTTCAGCTTCTGAAGCCCTGCAAGGACCTCAATCAGCGATAGCAGGGGCGTCAATTACCACCACCACCACTTGTTCTCGTACACGATGAACCAGAGTATGAGGTGGAACGTGTACTCGCGCCGACATGACAACACGCTCGAGTTCCTGATCCGCTGGGAAGGATATGATCCTTCGGAAGACAGTTGGGTTGGAGAAGCTGATATCGTCAACACAAAACGTGCTCGCAAGGATTATCTTGTCAAGCGGGGTGTTTCTCATTCCACCTAGCTTTGGGGGCGGACGTGTGAGAGTACCCGTGTTACCTAAACTATATTTCCATTTTCTATTCGCATTTTTGTGCTTATTTCCTAGTTCGTTGCTTTACTATGGTTGTTATAGGTATAGCTGTCAAACTATATATTTTAATGCGATGCTATAGTGAGGCACTCAGTATGGAGGATAACACTTTAGGGTTTGTATTTGTACCCTCCTCCTTTGCTAGTCAAACCATTATGTTCTGTGAGATTCTAACATGATATTCTTCGCTAGGTTAGGTCCGTGCCTACTGCCCGTTTCACGTGCATACCTGACGCGCTGCTGCCTTTGCGCGAGCGTTGCCCTGCTCTACCACACTGTCCATCGCGCGCACTGCCCCATGCTGCCCCGTGCGCGCTGCCCTATGCGCGCTGCCCCATGTGCAGTCTCGCGCTGCCCTGCGCACGCTGCCCTACGCATTGCCCTTCGCGCGCCGCGTGCCCCGCCCCGCGCTGCCCTTCACGCACTGCCCCGCACGTGCTGCCCTGCGCACTGCCCCGAGTGCGCTGCCCTATACACGCCCTTCGTGCTACCCTGCGAGCGCCGCCGCACGCTGCCCTTCGCGCGCGATCGCCTTGCTGCCGCTGCCCGCACGCCGCCGCTGCCCTCGCGCCGCTGCTGCCCGTGCACCGCTGCTGCCCGTGCGCCGCCCTGCCGCCGCCGCCCGTGCACTGTCCGTGCGTCGCTGCTGCCCGTGCGCCGCACCACCGCCACTGCCGCCCTTGCGCCACTGCTGCCCGTGCACCGCCGCGGCTGCCGCCCGTGCACCGCACCGCCGCTTCTGCCGCCCTTGCGCAACTACCGCCCTTGCACCGCCGCCGCTGCTCGTGTGCCACTGCCGCCTGAGCACCGCTGCTGCCCGTGCGCCGCATCGTCGCCGCTGCCGCCCTTGCACCACTGCCGTCCGGGCTGCTTGTACCCACTCTCGCGCACGCTGCAGCTTGCGCCACTGCACTGCCGCCTGCGCACTATCCACTGTCCAGCCCACTGTCGCTAAGCCCTTAGATCATAAGGGAGACGTCTGTGTTGTTTTGATCCCTTGGATCCACGTTGTTTGTTGCCAGCTAAGCACACAATTCCATCAGAACCCCCCGGTGCTCCGTCTGCACTCTGACTGTGGTGGCGAGTTTGCCTCCGGTCTCCTTGAGGATTTTTGTTGTAAGGAGGGCATCACCTAGTCGTTCACGCTTTCGTCCTCTCCATTGTAGAATCGGATTGTTGAGCGCCGCATTGGCTTGATCTTAAGGGTTGCTCGCACCTCCATGATCCATGTGGCTGCTCGCCACATTCTGTGGCCGTTTGCGGTCCGATACGCCGCGCATCAGCTCAACCTCTGGCCCAGTGTCTCCCAGCTAGAGACCTCGCCTGCACTGCTTTGGACGGGGGAGGTTGGCGATGCGTCAGTATTTCAGGTCTGGGGTTCGCTAGCTCTTGTCTGCGATTCTACGCGGGCAAGCTCTCTCCTCGCATTATTCGCTGCGTCTTCCTTGACTTTCCTGTTGATGCGTCCTGTCCTCCTACGACATCACCTTTTACGAGTCAGTTTGGCACCAAACAACAAGGGCACGCATGGAGGGAGGGGAATGTGGCGTAAGGTGAGGGGCATGGCGGAATGGGCCATGTCCCCATCGCATGCGATCGCCTTGCTCCTATGTGTCCTCCACCACCCTGCGCATGCACTCGTCCCCATCACCTGCTACCCATGCTCTTCCCCACGCCCCGCGCGCCCATCACCACTACGGACTCGCCCCCTACCACCACCTCGCGCACATCTCATCTCCGCGCTGCCCGCCTTGGCACGCCCCACGCGCCACGTCCGCCCAATAATTCTCCCCGCGCGCTTACGCATGGCGCGGATGCGCTGCAGCGTGCGACCTATCCCCGCGCGCTTGCGCGTGGCGCTGATGCGCTGCAGCGTGTGACCAATCCCCGCGCGCTTGTGCATGGCGCTGATGCGCTGCAGAGTGCACCCTATCCGTGTTAGAATTATCATCCTCTTGTAACCTGCACTCATATTATCAAGATCAGGTACAGATAAGCACCCAACTTTAGGTTGGGTGTATAGCTAGGGTTACCCTAAAGTTGGGTTGAGACCCAACCTTTGGCCCAAATTCTTGGACCCCAAAGGTTGGGTTGGGAACATTATTGGTTCCCCTCCAATAATGTTGACCCAGCTCAAGAGTGGTCAACATTATTGGAGGCCCTCCAATAATTCCCAACCCAACTTATTGGTGGGCTTCCAACAATGTTGGCTCCCTCCTCTCTTCTCTTCCCAACTATGTAAACCCAAGAATCTCATAATTGAGTTATCTTTTTCTCTTCAATCCTTGTCTTTCACATGGTTTAGAGCTCTCCTTCCTAAGCCACTTCAACTTCCTCCAAATCCTTCCCAAGGGCCCAACACCCCCTCAGATTTTTTTTTGCCGCCGCGACCAACTAGTCGCCGCCAGACTCCCCTACGCATCCGCGGCCCTTCCGCCGCCGTTGCTAGCACCATTAGCCACCGCATCCACGGCGCCTCCGCCACCGCGTCCCTCGCGCCCTCGCCGCCGCGTCCCCCGCGCCCTCGCCGCCGCGGCCTCGACGCCGCCGCCGCGCGCGCCCTCCCTCGCCGCGGCCCCGAGCCGCCGCGTCCCCCGCGCCCTCGCCGCCGCGGCCTCGACGCCGCCGCCGCGCGCGCCCTCCCTCGCCGCGGCCCCGCGCCCTCGCCGCCGCGTCCCCCGCGCCCTCGCCGCCGCGGCCTCGACGCCGCCGCCGCGCGCGCCCTCCCTCGCCGCGGCCCCGCGCCCTCGCCGCCGCGTCCCCCGCGCCCTCGCCGCCGCGGCCTCGACGCCGCCGCCGCGCGCGCCCTCCCTCGCCGCGGCCCCGCGCCGCCGCGTCCCCCGCGCCCTCGCCGCCGCGGCCTCGACGCCGCCGCCGCGCGCGCCCTCCCTCGCCGCGGCCCCGCGCCCTCGCCGCCGCGGCCTCGACGCCGCCGCCGCCCGCGCCCTCCCTCGCCGCCCCACGCCGCCCGCGCCCTCCCTCGCCGCCCCACGACGCCCCATCCCCGCGCCTCCGCCGCCGCGGCCTCGACGCCGCCCCCGCCCGCGCCCTCCGTCGTCGCGGCCCCATGCAGCCGCGTCCCCGCGCCTCCTCCGCCGCGGCCTCGACGCCGCCGCCGCCCGCGCCCTCCCTCCTTGCGACCCCGCGTCGCCGCGGCCCCGCGCCTCCGCCTCTGCGCCCCCGCGCCTCCGCCGCCGCGGCCTCGACGCCGTCGCCGCCCGCGCCTCCCCAGTCGCGGCCCCGCGCCGCCGCCTCCCTGCGTCCCCGCCGCTGCGGCCCCGACGCCGCAGCCGCCCGCGCCTTCCCCTTGACCGCCGCGGGTCCACCCACGGTCGTGACCCATGGCTACCCCGTCACCCTCCCCCACCCCCCTTCCTCCTCCCATCGACTCCTCCGTTGATAAACTCCAACTTTCTGCTGACGAATCCGCTATTAACTGACACTCTTTCGTGGGGAGCATCCGTCGAGTTCTCAAGGACGCTTGGGTCCCCCCCTACTGCGTCCTTGATGTCCTCCTCCGCCGCCCGCAGGCCCTCCCTCCCACCGCACCCGATCCCCTCGGCGATCCTCCCCTCCTCCCCCCTCCTCCTGGAAATCCTCCTCCTGAACCTGAACTCCAAGTCGCCTCCACTCCCGAGCTCCAAGCCGCCGCAGATGAAACCTTTCTCCACCGACGTCGTGAATACCTCATCCGCAAGGCGGACTACGACTCTGCAGCCGAGACCTACGCACAAGCCGTTATTGGGCGAGACGCTCATCTTGCGGTCGTCGCTCAGTATAACGCTGACATGGCAACCTATACCCCCAAACTCATTGCATGGTCCGGTGCTGACAACCGCGCCTGCACCGTCCTCCTCGGCGCCCTCCCTGACACCCTCATGCGTCGCTTCCAAGCCAGGGAACTCCGCGCCTCCGTGATCTGGACGGAACTGCACGCCATGTTTGAACGTCGTGATATCAGCTCCGTCGGTATTCTCTTCCAAGAATACTTCTCCATCACGCTCGCTACTTGTGAACGTGCTGTTGACTATGTGGGACGAATGCGCGAAGTAGCTGACTGCCTCGAAGCCCTCCAGGCCGGCCTCTCCGAACCTCTGCAGATCCACCGCCTCCTCTTCAATCTCACTCTGAATTATGAATCCCGCCTCCACGCATTCACCGAGGCCAAACCCATGGCCGACCTCAGCTCCGTCGAACAGTGGATCATCGACACAAAGGTCAAACTTCGCACCCCTGTCGTCAATCTCACCACCTCTCAACCCTCCTCCTCCTCCCACAACGCCACGCAGCCGCGCAAGCAGGGCAAAGGCAACGGCAAAGGAGGAGGCGGAGGCAAGGGTGGTGGCGGGCGAGGTGAGGGAAGCAGTGGAGGCCGTGGAGGCACGGGAGGCGATGAGAACAGTACCACCACTGCCACTCCTGGTGGCTCCTCTGAGGGACGGGGAAATCGTGTTGGTGCAACCCTACGGTTTGCACTCGGCTTGTTGTCCGTGTGCGTGTGCGTGCATGCGTGTGTGCATGGAGTGGTATGAGTGCATGAAATAAACATATATTTCATGCTCATAATATTGTGTGTATGATGGGTCATGATGTCGAGTGTGTGTGTGTCAAGTCTATAGCGAATTATCGCTAGTCGCGTGTAACGCGGTCATTTTGTGTGTCCCGCGCGGTTTCTATTTTGTCGTGCGCGGTTTCTATTTTGTCGCTTGTCGAACGTTCGGCGTGTCGCAGATGTGTGCAGCAGACCCATCAAGAACTCGAGGATGAGTTTGTGATGAAGAACCCGAGCCTTGGTTGCAAGCTTCAAGAGATTTCGAAGCTCGCCAAAAGGGTACACCTCAAGATATTGAAGCTAGTTACATTACTTTGTGTAGTGTAACATTTCAGTTGGTGTAGGCCCTTGTGAAGGGTAGTTTCGAGACCCTTCGTGGTTGGGGACAGTGTGGCACTGTTCCACATCACTGTACCTTGGCTCTTGGGGTTTGTAGGAGCTGGGATGCGGAGATAACTACTACAACGGGAGCTAGACTACGGGCTAGGCACGGGTGATCGTGTGATCTCTGCGTTCGTTGATTCTTAGTCGTTTTCCTAGTGCTCACACTGCTTGCTAGTTCACGGAGCAATTTGGCAAGAGTTTCACTAGAGAAAGTTGACAACAATGGTACAATCAAGTTGGCTTGGAAAGACTACATCAGAGCTAGCATTCAGGTCGGTCGACTGCCAGCACAGCATGGTCGACCACGTTCCAGCACGACTTGGTCGACCGCGCTCCAGCAGTGCAAAGTCGACAACGTGCCAACGCTGCAGGTTGACGGCGTGCCAGCGTTGCTCCCGTAGAACAGCAGCGCACCTACTTCGCAGGTGCTCGTTGATGATTGGAGGGCTAAGCCTTGTCACCTGAACAGCGCACGCACCAAGTCATCTTCGTGCTGACGGCTCCACCTGATCCGCCACGTCGACCTCGGGATACCACCGCCGAGGTCGGACTCGCCAACGTTGCCTGGGCGACCGTCGCACTCCTTCGCAGAACCTCATCACCCAGGTATCCTGGTCGACTGGGCAACCATGTCGACCAGCTGCTCCTGTATGTGCTCGTCGACCTCCCAAGTCGACGACCACACCAAGTCGACCTCACCAGGTCGACCACTCCTCTGGTCGACCAGCTCCAGGTCGACGTCACTCCTGGTCGACCAGTGCAGTTGTCAGCCGACCACCCAAGTCGGCTACCCAAAGTCGGCGTCACCAAGTCGACGCCCCTTCTACGTCGGCGCCGACTTCCAGACTGACCTCTTGAAGTCGGCGACCTCCCAAGTCGGCGACCTTGCAAGTCGGTGACCTTGCAAGTCGATGACCTTGCAAGTCGGTGACATGGCAAGTCGGTGACCTTGCAAGTCGGTGACCTGGCAAGTCGGTGACCTGGCAAGTCGGTGACCTTGCAAGTCGGTGACCTGGCAAGTCGGTGACCTGGCAAGTCGGCGCCGACTTCCAGGTCGACGTGCCACATCGCCGACCACCAGTTGAAGTCGGCCGCCGGCTTCCCAAGTCGGCGGCATTGCAGTGGCCCCGTGCAAGTCGACCAACCCCGTCGACCAGCTCGCCCAAGTCGGCGTCGCCCACTGCTGCAAGTCGGCTATACCTTCCGTACACCCCACCACGAAGTCGTCTCCGCCCAAGCGTGGACGGGGCCAACACACAACTCCCGTTGACATGGGAGTCATTCCCAACTCGTAACTCTTCCTAACTCTTCCTATTGTGTGTTCTAAGACTATGTTGCTGCCATAGTGCCGTTCGTTCAAACCGATGCTGTGTCGTCAATGCTTGATGAAATCGTGCGATCTAAATTGCCTATTGTAGGGAACGTTAAAACGCTCCAGATCCAAGTTGAATGAAGTCATTTGGAGTTGTGGGCAGATCGCTATGAACGTTTAAAGCCGCTGTGCAGAAATCCGACTGTGCACTCTATCTTTCGTTTTAGGCACATTGAAGCCTACTGTGACTATAACAAGTGGTATCAGAGCCCCTTGGAGCAGCTACGACAATGGCTGGACCTGAAGAAAGGGGTGGCAGAGGTGCTGGTGGCAATGGAGATGCCCAAGCACAAGGCCAAGCCCGTGAGTGAGCCGTGGTGCCCGTGCAACCGACTCTTGGACCTTCTAGGGACGAACCAAGAGTGTTCGGGCTTGACAAGTTCAACGGCGACAACTTTGCTGAATGGTCCTTCAGAATGGAGAATGTGTTTGATCACTATGACCTGCTGGAGGTGATGGAAGGAACGGAGAAGCACCCCGAGAACGACCCGGAGAAGAGCCCGTGGGTGCGGAAGAGCGCACAAGGCTACCTCCTACTTGGGCAAGCGTTGGGGAGCAGCCAGATCCGTCACATCAAGCCATTCCAGCGTGAACCATAGAAGGGACCAAAAGCATGGGCTGCTCTCAAGGGTGTACATGCTCCTGCAACAGCGGCGGTAGCTGTGGTGTTGGAACGGCAAATGGCGACGCTACGAATTGAAGAAGATGAACCCGTGGAAGAAGGGGTGCATAAATTCTTCGACTTGTTGACGCGGCTTGAGGGAGCTGATTTGAACTATAGTGAGCTCCAGAAGAAGACCAAGTTGCTGGCCCTACTCCCTGAGTCATGGTCCTCGCTCATCATCAACCTGAACCGCGACTTGCCCTGCCTCTCGCTCGAAGACGTGAAGCGAGCTATCCTTCAAGAGGATTTCCGCCGCCGTGAGTTGGCGAGTGCGGATGGCGCTAGGGCAGCGAGCATCGGCCGTGGATATGGTCGAGGAAAAGGCAGAGGACGAGGGGGAGGAAGGTTTGGTGGCAGCAACTTCGGCGGAGGCCGCGGGAGTGGCGGTTACGGCAGCGACGACAAGAGCTACGGTCGCGGCCGCGGACGATTTGACGGCGAATGTCACTATTGCGGCAAGAGCGGACACATGTGGCGCGATTGCTTCAAGCTCCCTGATGGTTGGACCCCTGCTCAAGGCCAAGAGGGTAGAGGAGCAGGAGGAGGGAGAGGAAGAGGCCGTGGAGGCCATGGCGGTCGCGGAGGTGGAGCCGCGAACATGAAGAGTGGAGACAACGACAAGGAACCGAGCGACGATCGGTACCCGGGTCTATTCTACTTTGTGTCGACGCAAGTACCAGCTGGTCCTGAGAAGGATGAAGACCTTGAGGAGCCAGCAGCTGTGGGGAAGGTGACCCTACACCCCCTGGACTATTGGGTGATTGACAGCGGCGCTACCTATAGCATGACACCTCGCCCCGACTTGCTCACCGAACTCGAGCCGTCACCGGTGAAGCATGTCACATCGGCTTTGGGGCAGCGAGCAGAGGTGAAAGGCATGGGCAAGGCCATGTTCAAGGTTGCTGATGGGAAGATGGTGGGCCTCAAGAACGTGCTTTGGGTGCCCAGCCTTGCTGCGAACCTGATTTCCGTGCGGCGATTGGCAAAGGCCGGCATGGACACGAACTCGAAGGGAGCCAAGACCTACACCGCAAGGCTTGGCGATCGGGTTCTTTGGGACCTTCATGAGGACAGGGATGTCTACAACGAGATGTGGCAGATCCCTGTGGTCCCCATGCCTAAGGAGAGGCAAGTGGGAGCAAGCGTCAGCACCAAGGATGAAGCGGTTGGTAGCGGCGATGGCGCGAACGGTCGCGCTAAGGAGATTGTGTCCAAGAAGTGCAATCTTAGAGGGACCAGCAAGCTCGGTGAACACGAGGAGAGTGGTGTAGCAGCCAAGAAGCGGCACAAGGGTGAGGAGAACCCCGGGGTAGCAGCGGAGGACTACGGAGAGAGCATGTGGGGCGCCATTGCGAGCGCGGCATTCTCCAATCCGACTTCGGCTACGGGGGAGTGTGATTGGTTGACTTTGCATCGGCGCATGGGGCATGTGGCCCTGCCCATCTTGCAGCAGCTAGTGAAGAATAAGATGGTTGCTGGCATACGTGTGAAGGGGGAGCCCGATGAGGTACTTGGCTGCCCGACGTGCATGCAAGCCAAGTTCACCCGTTTCCCGTTCTCTAGTTCGGAGGCAACGGCTAAGGCACCACTTGATGAGGTGGTGATGGACGTGGTGGGCCCCTCAAGCTTGGAGCTGCTGGAGCTGAGTATTTCCTCATTATTGTGGACGTCTACACCCGTATGACTTGGGTGTATGTGCTGGCCAAGAAGAGCGACGTGGCTGAAACGTTGAAGACGGATTGGTTCCCGATGGTGGAGCGGCAACAAGACCGTCTAGTCAAGTCAATCCGCACCGATCGAGGGGGAGAGTTCCTGAGCAAGGAGTTTGGGTTGTGGCTGAAGAAGAATGGTATTCGGCACTCCCTCACCATGCCATACTCCCCTGCAATGAACGGCATCGCCGAGCGAGCGAACCGGACGATCACGGAGGCGGCACGCGGGTTGCTCATTGAAGCCGGGCTACCCGATTACTTCTGGCCTGATGCAGTGTGGAGCGCGTGTGTGGCCAAGAACAGAGTTTTGACTCATGTGGGAGCAGACAAATGGGTGCCCTATGTGGAGTGGCTTGGAAAGAAGCCAAAGATGGATATGCTTCGGTTGTTCGAGTGCATGTGCATGGCGCTCGTGCCTAAGCATCTTCGGCACAACAAGCTTGGTGCCAAGGCGGTGTGGGCCGTGCACTTGGGCATGGCTCAAAACAGCAAGGGGTGGCTTCTTTGGGACCCATTCAGCAAGAAGTTCATGGTGAGCAGGGACTGCAAGTTCATGGAGAACTTCATGTACAAGGATTGGAAGGCGGAGAATGAGGCGAAAATAGGCGTGCGGTTTGGGGAGGTGAAGAGTTCCGGGTTGGAGCATGTGGAGCTGCCTTTGGAGCTGAGCAGCGGCAGCACCACCACAAGGCAATCCTCCCTTGTGAATAGGGGAGAGGAGGCCAAGGATGCAGAGGAAGAAGAGGAGGAGGTGCAGCAAGTGAGCGAGCGTGCACCGACACTTCCTTCCCGCACTACGAGCACTCCACGGAACCGAGCCACACCGCAGCAACGCCAAGGCCTTCAAGTCCCTGCAGCTGAGGAGGAAGGAAGGGGGAAGAGGAGATTTCAACCCCCTAATAGGCTGACCTATGATGCACCGGGGAAGCCGGGCAAGACGGCCCTGGCCGGAGCGGCAATGATGGTCGGAGACGACGAGGAGAGTGACTACGAGGAGTGTGCGTTCGCGTTCTTCTCTCCGGTGGAGATGCCGCGAGAACCAGCAACTCTCAAGGAGGCCTTGGAGAGTAGTGATGCTGAGGAGTGGAAGAAGGCCATGGAGAGTGAGCTGAAGAGCATCGAGGAGAACGACACGTTTGAATTGGTGGAGCTACCGGAGGGGCGTAAGGCGATTACGTCCAAGTGGCTTTTCAAGATCAAGTCGGATGCCGACGGCAAGATCGAGCGTTACAAGTCTAGGCTGGTGGCCAAGGGGTACCAGCAAAAGGAGAAGGTGGACTTCAAGGAGCTGTTTGCTCCTGTGGTGAAGCCGACGATGCTGCGA